TCCGTTTTATTCCATTATACGGCAAAAATTCCATTTTATTCATTAATTATAAAAATGGAATAATTCCGGGTCTCTGTGTCCATTATGCTAAAAAAGTAAAAATTATAGATTTCCCATTTAAAAATCAAAATAAAAAAAAATTATTTTGTTTTTTCTTCAAACATGAACTTTAACCAATACCGAGATATATTTAATAACGAAGAACATAATATAAAGAAAATTAAATTCTCAAACGCACAGATTCACGAACAAACCTCAACAGAATTGAGGACAAAAATGAACGAAAAAATTGTTCTCGAAAAATAAGAACAACAAAATAAACGTAAGTAAGGGTCTCACTACAGTAGTCATATATAAGAGATGAATCGTTTTGCTGTTAGGCAGCCTCAATACAGTAGTCTTGGACGAATCGTGGTTATAATTCTCATATGGTTTACTTAGTAAATGTCTTTTTATCTGGTTGCATTGTATCTATTTATACATGCTTCTGATGTCTTTAGGAATACCTGGCCAGTTGTGAGATACTTTGAGAGTACTGATAATTAAACATTGAAACAGTTTATTCCCTGTTTATAATTTAGTTGTGATCTCTCGTTTCTACGGAAGCTTTATGTTCAAGGGTAGTCGAAGTCATACCTAATTATATTCATACGATGAGAACTTAATAGGTTCAAAATTCTCTACAAGGGAATTTTAGCTGCGGTTTTATCTAAATTAATTTATAATTTTAATTAATTTAATTAAAAATGAAACGTATATGTACTCGCACAAAATGTGCGCCTTATTTATTTCTATTTCTTGCCCTTATTTTTTTTTTTTTATAAAAGTTAAATATAATACAAGACGTTCATAGAATCCGAACAAAAAGTACTGATTGGTTGATTTTGTACCCGCATATTTAATAAAAAAAACTCCGGACTTACAACGGTTTCCGTTTCCTAGTATCTATATAATTTATTAAATTCGTAAAAGAAACAAAGTCCATTTTAAATCAAAACCCTGGTATTTATAACGTAATATCGATCATTCCAGAACATGATACTATTTTGGTAATTTCCTGGACATTCGAAAATATGATAATTCTATTGGTGTTTCGTAGTACGTCGGGAGTTATAAAAAGAAAACGACACCCTTTTTTTTTTTTAAACATACTCTTCCAATTTCGTGAATTCGTCTTCCTTTAAAGTTATTATGTCAGACTGGGGTAAGCTCACTTTTTATTAAGTATTTTACTTCAAAAATAGTATTAAAATAGTACTGATTTACTAATGAAAATGAAAATTTAATTAATCTTTGCCGATAAGCCGATATTTCTATACCTCCCATTGTCAAACCAATAAAGAAATGGGACGATGAAGATGTTGATGAAGATAACATCAAAGTATATTTGAAATGTTCTTCTTGATCATTGTTTTTCTAATTTATATTAAATTCTCTTGTTAATTAATTAATTACTTTAGGAAAGTTGGGATATGGAATCATCTGACGAAGAAGAAAAAAAAAAGTCAACTACTCCGGCACCTCCACCAAAAAAGAAAAAATCAGTTGCGCAACAAATTGCCGAAAGAGAGGAATTAAAAAGAAAAGCCGCCGAACAAAAAGCGAGAATAGTAATTTATCGGTTGAAGATTTGATCTGTTTGAATTCAACATATTTATAATAGTCTTTTATTTGTTTATTCAGAATATTGAAGTAAATGAAGAAGAAGATGAATTAGAGGCACTTGAAAGAAGAAGAAGAGAACGTCAAGCTGTAATTGATGCTGACTTGGAAAATGCCGAGGGAATGTTTCAAGGAGTAACCATAAGAGGTTAGAATTCGGAATTTTTGGTTTTAATTATTGTGACTGATTAATTTGTTTTATGTTGTTCTTTAGAAACTGAAGGCCCTCCTTTAGATATGACAATTCCTATGACAAATCCCAAGACAAAGGAAGATTTCGAAGAATTCTCCAAACTTTTAGTTGACCAAATTCGAAAACATGAGGTATTATTTAATTGCTTTATAAATTATTTTTTTAAAGAATTAGAATTTCTAATTTTATTGTCTACTACAATTCTTTTAGAAACAAGGCTTGTATGTCAACTTTATTAATGACTTTATACGTGAACTTTGTGCTCCCCTTAGAGATGTTGATGTACGTAAATTTGCAAGTACATTGACAACTTTGGCAAATGAAAAACAAAAACAAATGAGAGAAAAAGAGAAACCAAAGAAAAAGGGTAACAATAAAGTTTGCTTCAAGAATTTAACATTTTATAATTCTTTTATATTTATTGAAATTTCGTTTTTAGGTAAAGTTAAGCCTGCTCTTCAAACTGAAAAGTTTGATCTGTATGATACAACGGATTATGGAAATTATGACGATTTCGATGATTTCATGTAACCGCAGGGTAATTATATAATTTATGGGGTAGTGGTAGTGTTTGCTCACTTTATATTTATTCGATTATAATCTATTGGGCTTTCTTAATTACCTAGCATTTTAGCTCTTGGTTTTTAGTTTGATTTTTCATTGTTATGTTAATTATTTTATATAATGTATATACTAATTTTATTTTCATGTGACAAAATGAATTTGCTCTTAAAGTTATGATATATTGATATAATTATGGTTTTGCTCTATTAGTAATAATACTGTAATAATATATAGGTATAAAGAAGACAGCTAGATATTAAATTCGAAGAGATAGTTTAGAATGGGTTGGTTTTATGAGATGTGAAAACAGTCTTGTATCATTGCTATAGGTCGATTAAATCACATATGATAAGATGATCATGTGAAAACAATTTGTAGGATAGTTTTTATTTATTATAATTGCTAAGATTCTTTGGCATTCCTTTGAATTTGGTATGGTTAAATTATTTATCCAAAACATTTGATAATACCAAAAAAATTTTATATATCTAGAATGTTATAATAAATCATAAATATAATATCAATTAAAGTGTAAATTAAATAATAACATCAAAAAAATTATTATAATTTATTATCGTGCTCACCAGTATGATGTAGACGATCTTGTTTTTTAATATTTTTTGTGATATCATGGAGTTTATATGAAAATTAGCT